ACCATCCGTCCGTCTATCCATCTGTTCGTCCATCCGTCCATCCATCTGTCCATCCATCCATCCCTCCATCCATCCATCTGTCCATCCATCCCTCCATCCATCCATCTGTCCATCTGCCCATCCCTCTGTCCGTCTATCCATCCCTCCATCCATCCGTCTGTCCGTTCATCCATCTGTCCACCACGGTGTCGTAGCCACAATCTGCCGTGCCCCATTCTGGACCCCCCCAGCACCATTTCCCTCCTTCCAAAAGCAGCAAAACCTCCCCAAATTCTATCTCCTCTCCTCATTTTTTAATTCCCCCCTCCCTCTCCATCCCCGGATGAGGGAGGAGATGGTTTCCACCACCCCTGCTCCTCAGGGATGACTCAGAGAACGTTGGGGGTGCAACCTCCTGTCTGTGTCCCCCCATCCCCATCCTAGGCTACTTTTTGGGTGAAAAAAATGTGGTTTTATCCCCTTGTGTCCCCCCCCTGCAGGACCTGCAGGCTCAGGACCGAGCCCACCGCATCGGGCAGCAGAACGAGGTGCGCGTCCTTCGCCTCTGCACCGTCAACAGCGTGGAGGAGAAGATCCTGGCGGCTGCCAAGTACAAGCTGAACGTGGACCAGAAGGTCATCCAGGCCGGCATGTTCGACCAGAAATCCTCCAGCCACGAGCGGAGAGCCTTCCTCCAGGCCATCCTGGAGCACGAGGAGCAGGATGAGGTAAGGAGGATCCAACTCAGGGGCAGCTTCTTCTCCTTCTCCTCCTCCTCCTCCTCCTCCTCCTCCTTCTTCTTCTTCTCCTTCTTCTCCTTCTCCTCCTTCTCCTCCTTCTTCTCCTTCTTCTTCTCCTCCTTCTTCTCCGTCTCCTTCTTTCTTCTTCTCCTTCTCCTTCTTTCTTCTTCTCCTTCTCCTTCTTTCTTCTTCTCCTTCTCCTTCTTTCTTCTTCTCCTCCTCCTCCTTCTTCCTTCTTCTCCTTCTCCTTCTCCTCCTTCTCCTCCTCCTTCTCCTTCTCCTCCTTCTCCTCCTCCTTCTCCTTCTCCTCCTTCTCCTCCTCCTTCTCCTTCTCCTCCTTCTCCTCCTCCTTCTCCTTCTCCTCCTTCTCCTCCTCCTTCTCCTTCTCCTCCTTCTCCTCCTCCTTCTCCTTCTCCTCCTTCTCCTCCTCCTTCTCCTTCTCCTCCTTCTCCTCCTCCTTCTCCTTCTCCTCCTTCTCCTCCTCCTTCTCCTTCTCCTCCTTCTCCTCCTCCTTCTCCTTCTCCTCCTTCTCCTCCTCCTTCTCCTTCTCCTCCTTCTCCTCCTCCTTCTCCTTCTCCTCCTTCTCCTCCTCCTTCTCCTTCTCCTCCTTCTCCTCCTCCTTCTCCTTCTCCTCCTTCTCCTCCTCCTTCTCCTTCTCCTCCTTCTCCTCCTCCTTCTCCTTCTCCTCCTTCTCCTCCTCCTTCTCCTTCTCCTCCTTCTCCTCCTCCTTCTCCTTCTCCTCCTTCTTCTCCTTCTCCTCCTCCTCCTTCTCTTCCTCCTTCTCCCTTCCCCTCCACGCAGGGCGCGGATGGCGAGCGTGGCGTGGCTTTTTGGCTCCTGCGCATCCTCGGGGGCTAGAGGAGGTAGAGAGGAAAGGGAAAAATAGAGAAAAAAAGGGAAAAAGGAGAAAAAATGAAAAAAAAATGAAAAAAATGAAAAAAAATGAAAAGGAAAAGGAAGAAAATGAAAGAAAAAGAAAGAAAGGGAAAGAAAAAGAAAGAAAGGGAAAGAAAAAGAAAGAAAGGGAAAGAAAAAGAAAGAAAGGGAAAGAAAGTGAAAGAAAGAGAAAGAAAGCGAAAAAAAAGAGAAAGAAAAAAAAGAAAGAAAAAGCAGCATGACCACTTGTTTTTTGTTTTTTTTTTTTGAGTTGCAAATTTTTTTTTGTTGTGGCGTGGGTGCGAGGTGCCGGGTTGCCAGCCCCGGAGACTGAAGTGCTGTGTTTATCCACAGAGCAGAGCGAGCGCGGGCGGCGGCAGTGGCAGTGGCAGCCTCCCCCCCCCAGGCTGCCTCCACCCTGTGCCTGAGCGCGGAGGCCGAGGAACCACCTCTGAAGGTGAGAGGGGGTTGTTCAGTCTCCACGCACCGCCGGCTGCCATGACCCTGGGCCTCGCCGCCCAAGGAGACCCTGGGCCTTGCTGCCCGAGGAGATCCTGGGCCTCGCCGCCCGAGGAGACCCTGGGCCTCGCCGCCCGAGGAGACCCTGGGCCTCGCCGCCCGAGGAGATCCCGGGCCTCGCCGCCCGAGGAGATCCCGGGCCTCGCCGCCCGAGGAGACCCTGGGCCTCGCCGCCCGAGGAGACCCTGGGCCTCGCCGCCCGAGGAGATCCCGGGCCTCGCCGCCCGAGGAGATCCCGGGCCTCGTTGCCCGAGGAGACCCTGGGCCTCGTTGCCCGAGGAGATCCCGGGCCTCGTTGCCCGAGGAGACCCTGGGCCTCGCCGCCCGAGGAGACCCTGGGCCTCGCCGCCCGAGGAGATCCCGGGCCTCGTTGCCCGAGGAGACCCTGGGCCTCGCCGCCCGAGGAGACCCTGGGCCTCGCCGCCCGAGGAGAGACCCCCCCCCCCCCCGCCTCTCCCCACGGCCCCCCCCCCCCTTCCCCC